TTGAGTCTGTGCCCTCACTGTAACTATATCGTCATTTCAGGCTGATGCTGTTCTCTCAAACATTGTTACATTACATTACATGTCACTTGTTAGATGCTTTTATCCAAAGCGACTAACATACATTCAGTACTGTGGGCAATCCCCACAGGAGCAATTTTGGGTATAGTGTCTTGCCCAATGACACAACGACATGCTGACTGCAGTGGGACTCGAACTTGCTCTCCCCTGAAGATCAGCGCACTATTCCACTGAGCCACCGCCTCAATCCGACAGGACTTTATTTCAAAGTTCTTAAAGTGTTATAAATATTCGAACAATATCAAAACTCTGTCTACATTTTGGGAAACTGTGTGAAGCACAAGACATCTAAAATATGACGAAGCCATAAAGAGACTCCATGTGGCGTTTCAATATTTCACTCCTAAGATTTTTTTTGCGATTTAAAGGAAGAACAAAATACAAAATCTGGAAATTAATTAATCTAATGGTAATCAAAGTCAACTTTATAGTCAATCTTCCAGTGTGTGTGTACAGACAGAGAGATCGAAATACTGATTGTGTTTCCCACAATCCCGAATATAAAAACAAATGTGGACAAAATATGTGTGACATAGAAGTGCAAGGTCATTTGACCAGCCACTCTCTCCTTGTCCTCTTAAAGCATTTATTTGTTGCTGAAAAGCCGGAGCCACAGGGGGTTCAAATCCCAGATTTAATACCCCACCCAATCCCCCGATTATGCCGGTTCCTGCTCTGCAGCTGGTCCACACCGGGAGCTGGTGAGGGTCCCATCTGTGGCAGCGACAGTGTTTAAAGACAGAGAGTGAGGGGAGGGTGGAGCGGATACTGAGTGCATCTGAAGGGGAGTCACACGTGCACGGTTGCAAAAGCTTGCGATACAACATCTGTCAGCGTGTGTGATGTGGCCGCTGAACTTTGATGTCATCTCAAACCGAGGTCACAACAGATGTGATAACGCCGAGACATTTCCTCATACACGTCTGCAGTTGTAAGGACAGATACACAAGTAAAGGTTTTAAAAGTCAGACAATTATTCTTATACAAACAAAAAGTTGAATTAATAAGTTGTAAAACTGATTTCAGGAGTTACTCTTTCTTGTATGACCAATAGCTTATTGTGGCTCTTTTCTATTCAACTTTTCAAACATTATCCTGTAATTGTCACATGTGGCTACAGGGACTGTTATTCAGCTGAAGTAACATTGGCTTCCTAAGTAAATAAAGCATAAAACATATTATATAAGTTAATAGTAAGTGTATTTCTGGCTGTGTTGTATTATGGTCTACTGAGGCTCTAGTTATGGAGAAACCCTATCTATAAAAAACTCTTCTATGATCAATCACTTTTATTCTTTATTGTATGATTCTTATAAACCAAATACTGCTATATTATTTCTTAATTCTGTAAATAAAAACATTTATCCAGACTTTAACATTTTGTCAGGATGTTTTTACAGCTGTGATTATTCTGGATGTGATTCACATTCCTGTCATCTTTCACCATATCATGATGACACATGGAATAATGACAATACAAATCTATTTGTATTCCCTCTTTCAGTTTCTCTGATAAAAAACAACAACTATCCAGTGAATACACCCACCCACTCGCAGAATAATCACGGCACGGGATTGTGGGTAGGTCAGATGGTGTCATCCACTCACTTTGTATCAGAGAAGTGCTGGAAACGGACAAAAAAAGACTGTTGCCTGGCAACGTAATATCACAGCAAAGGAAGTGACATGAACGTTTAGGGATATGAAGGAGTGAGACGCAGAGAGGAAAAGGAGAAGGGAAATATTGATTTAGGATTGATCATCAGTGATGATTATTTTAACAGTTATGATCTCATCTTTCACTGAGCACTAGTATTTATTTTGTCCTCCTCCGCAGCCTGGATGATACACAAGTATCAGATGCAGTATGTGGGAGTGAAGAGCGGCTGAAAGCCAAGAAGAAAAACTCACAAGGTGTAAAAACTGTAGTAATGAAAATACTGGGCATGAATTAATCATTACACATTTAGGAGTGTTAAGACATTATACAGATTGATTTTAATTTTAGGTAGGTCTCTGAGACAATCATATTAATCCAGGTTTTCTGCTTTGTATATATATATAAAATATATATTTTTTAGGAAGTTAAGGATCAAGATGTGCATCCCTTGGACAATTATTGATAACTGAACATTATTGTTTAAGTGATATACCAATTCACTAAAGCGAAGGCTGCTTTTTTATTTTGTTACTTAATGTAGACTTTACAGTTGATCCTTAACTAACGTGTTAAATACCATCATATAGAATATATCACATTTGTTATTACAACCCCTGATGCTTTTTAGCTTTGTGGTGCTTCATGCTCATTTGAAAAACAATTGCACGATCTGTTTATCCAATTCACAACCAAGAAGGCAATCGAGATACACAAAGACCCCACCCATCCCCTCAACCCAGCATTCACGCAGCCACCATCAGGCCTCAGACTGAAGGTCCCTATGGCCAGATAAAAAGACCATGAGAAATCCTTTATTCCATCGGCTGTGACCATCCTGAATAACAGCCTGTTACACACACACACACACACACACACACACACACACACACACACACACACACACACACACACACACACACACACACACACACACACTTGACTCAACTTGAGCCCCCTTTTCAAACTTCAAGGATCATTCTACCACCAATCCCATCACCTAATTGTAATGTTATAGTAAATTATTTACAATGAATACAGCTGATACTTTAATGGACCCATTCCAGTGGAAGAACAAACCACTCTGCACTTTTACTGCCATTTAGTCAATTTAAGTTGCAATTTCCCTAATTTTGTGTGTGAGTATTGTATGTTAAGTACGGTGTATGTTAAGTGTTATTTTATCCTATTTGCCAGTGCAAAAGACAAATTACCATTATATCTAAATGTAATGGACAATAAAGTTATTCTGAATCTGAACCAGGTTGTTGAAGGACGTGATTTTAAATCTGTTAACAATCAGGTTAGCTGAATCATCCAAGCACACTGACTCAGCACGTGCACATGGCCTTTTACTGTCATCAGACACTATATGCAAAGGGGAGAGGGGGAGGAGGAGGAAGGCCCTTGGTCATCAATGCAACCTCCCCTACAGGCTCGTGTGGCAGCTGTGTTTCTGAGCTGAACAATGGTGAGCAAGGTTCACTCTGTAGGCAGGAGCCGAGCTGATAACACGTCATAATCAGGTCAGTCCATCAGTCGACTTAATGTCCTATATGATCGCAAATAACGAGAAGGATGGAGAGGAAGGATGCTGCCATTTGGGTACCATGTTGGCTGCCGGCCTGCTCCACATATGCTTCTAAAAATGAAACCTAACCCCCCCCCCCAGAGCCACACATGGTGATCACACATCATCACAGAGCAGCCTGTGATGGCATGGCTGCCCTCAGAGCATCTGCGCTTACACAACTGACAGGCAAACCTACACATCGGGGAGGAAAAAAAACCGAGTGCATGCGACCTGAAACGTAAATATTGCTGATGCTGATGCAACCGAGGCCGTCCCGGGAGACGCTGAATGCTCAAAAAGCACGATATTAAACAGCAAATCTAAATATAATAATTTAAAAGAATGTCTCTTACCTCGGCGGTTTCCTCTGTTGGACATTACGGGAAGGATGGGGAGGGAGGCAGGTGCAGGGATGCAGAGCGACGCCCAGGGAGACAGAAACATGAAGCAGTCAGTGCACAGACTCTCATAAACACATGGCTGTATATATAACCCAGAAAAACATGCTTACCTCCTGTTTTCACCGGGATCCGGCTCTTGTACCTGATGTTGCTCGACATGTTGCCCGCTCTCCTCCTCGATTTTTACCGAAGCGACGGCTCACAGAACGCGGCCCCTCGCCTCGCCTCCAAAGCCCGGACAGACAGCAGGAGGGCGGGCCTAGCTGACAGATGCAAGCCCCTCCTCCTCCACACAGACAGCCAATCACACTGCAGGCAGGGGTCCTACTTCAATGGATATTTACAAGCAGGGGTCCTAAAGGATTCCACGAGGGGCTGAGGGTTCTCTAAAACACATGTAATTCCATAGATGTGTCCAAACCAACCTCGCTGACATAACTTCTTTCCGGTGTCCAGTAAGACAGATTTTGTACAGTGTTCAATTATCATATAAACAAATTCAACAATCCGTCCAAAAATGTGAATATGATTATCAATGACATGTTTTCCAAGAAATTATAAGTGAAAATTCTGACAAATCATTGGCCAAAAGGTGTTTCCACTATCATTGGATACACAATGAAATAATCCTGTCAGATAAAACTATAGATTCAACACTTAACTTCCCTTAGCAATTGTTTATATTGAAGGGAAGTGCTGCAAGGATAAGTCAAACTATTTTCAAATGATTTAATACAATTCGTTTTTCATGCTGTTTTATGCTTTGTTATGCTTATTAAGCTGAATATGTTCGGCTTTTGGACTCACAGTACAAGACATTAAAGACATTACCTTGGACACTTTGGACTTCGCTATTTTCTAAAATGTATAGACAAGTCATAGGGAATATAATCAACACATTAATCAATAATAAAAGCAGTAGTTAGTTAAAGTCTAATGAAGCATTACTATTTACGTTAATACACCCTGGCGAGTGACGAATGCTTTTGCCTCAACACAATCACTACATAGCCTTTTAATGTAGACTTATGTTGAACATATTTTGGTAACTCCCAGACTTTCTTAAGAAGACTGAACAAAAATCAATGACAACATGCCAACAATTTAATGCTAAATACTTATTTTACCACCTTGTGAAATCTCAAGTCAAAAACACCAGAAATAAACTCATGAGCCACTGTGCCCATGAGTCAGTTCGAATCACTGATCAAGTCAATTTTTACTTTTAACAAAACACTATTAACAATAAAATACCAAACCTTTAAATAAAAACATAATTCACAAGTTACTCCAGATTTCACAACTGTCAACTTTTTATTCTCTTAACAAATGTATTCAAGAGAGAAATACAAAAACATGTTTACGTCTTAAAAACAAGTCTATACTGAGATATAGTTAAGATATAGCAGGTATGTGTGTTTAAAATAAGTTCAATAGACAGATTTGCATATAAGAGCAATAGACTGGAAAAAACAATAATGCCAACATCAGATCAATAAAAGCACAGTTAGACGGCGCTGCTAAACAAAAGATGTTTACACATATAAGAGGTACATTTTAAGTATGTTGATATTAAGTACTTGATTTCAAATTGGACAGCCAAAATACAGAGTGATGGAAGGCTGCACATGTAGCGTACAAATAATATGTTCACACATTAAATGACATCACTGAAGCAAATATGCACACATTAAGTTACCGGAGTGAATAATGTAAGAACAGTCTGTAGTTTGGCACTGACTTTAAAGATCCTGCATCTCTTGATAATAAATACAAAAATATTAACAACATGGCATTTTACTTCAGCTATAACATGATCCTAAAGCCGTGTTGTTTCTTATTCTAACTCAATTAGTTTGGTTACTTGCATATAGTAGATTTCCAGCCTAAAGCAAAGTCAACTTTAGAAGTAGGTGTGTAACGTTGGCTACAAAAGTTGAAAACAATTAAGAAGAAAGCATTTCTCGTTCTCTGCATAGACAGAAAACCTCATTTATAAACACACTTATCTGAAAATGTAGTAATATTTATAGTTATTGCATTATCAGACGCAATCAAGGCACTGAACCTATCGAGAGGCTACTGATTCACTCGTAGGATCACTCTAAAAATGAATATGAGTTGCAAACAGCTTTACTAAATGGTTAGTTAAATACGTTCAAAACAGTCTTACCCTGATAACAAAATGGAAAATTATGCCATCTGAAGCTTGGACTTGAGCGAAATGCATAATTCATACATATATACTTTTGTAAACATGACAGTGTGTTGGCAAAAACTCTTAGTACCATTGTCACTCACGGCTCTGTGGAGTTATTCATAGAATCAAAGACTAAATAGTGGATGTATTCATTATAATGACGGAGGTTTGGAGGGAACAAGAAGAAGAGCATGAGAAGGGAAAGAGGTGTGCTTACAAAAATGATGTGATCCTAGATATTTGCTCTCTCTGTGGATCTGCAGCGCGACAGCAGGCAGGGATGGATTTAGAGGTGTGTGTGTGTGTGTGTGTGTGTGTGTGTGTGTGTGTGTGTGTGTGTGTGTGTGTGTGTGTGTGTGTGTGTATACATATATAATTGTGTGGGTGGGTTGGGATCAGTGTGTGTCCCTTCTGCTGCAACTCTTTCACTCGTCTGATTTCATCTTCATCTGTGCCTGCATCTGAGCGATCATCTGCTGCATGCGTCTCAGCTACAGAAAGATAAGAAACACAAAAATGTAGTTTTTATTTTCAGGAACCCATTATCATTTTCACATCAATAGACTTAAATGTTGTTCCTTTACTTCATTTATTGATTCTCTCAAAACATATTTAAACAAAGAAAGCTAAAACACAGAAGTCTGCTGATTAAATCTTGCAGTTTTACTTTATAACTACGAGTGGATGATCATTTCAGACCTTGTGTGTGTCTTTAAAGTAAAACTGAAAAAGAAAATCTCAACTCCTCATGACAAAGTAGTAGAATAGTTAATTAAAGTGGTTTACAATTTCAACAGTTAGGGTGAATATGAATTTGCCCTTCAAGATTTAACCAGTCAGATGTCTGTGTTTTGAAAGGACCAGTATGATTCTGAGTTTTAGTACATGTCTTCCAGCCACGTCTGAAGGCAAACCACAATAACTGAACAAACTAACAAAGGAAGTGCAATCTATAGAGAGACACACATAGAAACATATGCTGACTGATTGGTGCAAAAACAACGACACAAGAACACTTGGCAATTAAAGACAAAAGGAAAAATATCACATGGACAAAGTGTTATAGTTGAGATTTTCAAAATACAGGGTAACCTGAAATCTAAATTAAATCAAGAGGCAAATCTATATTTGTTTCAGAAAGCGGACGTGATAGGAAATTAATACGTGTTTAAAAATGAATGAAGCATAAAATCAATGTCAAACAATAAATAAATAATCGTTGGAAAACAAATGTCCAATCCCGAGTTAGAGTAAAAGCAAATAAATAAAAACAATTGGCAATAAGTGATTGTTCTAAATAGAACTCTGTAACTCGGGTTACAAGGATGTAAAGCTTTTAAAACGATCATGATGCACGGTGTTAAATAAAAACCCTCACTGATGTATAGCGCCATCTTGTGGTAGAGAACAGAACCGCCTAATCATCTTCAGAGGTTTATTTATATAAACTACATATAAAATACAGCTTTAATGTAAATAATATAAGATTACTCATGTAATATGTATTAAAAGTAAAAAAGGGTCAAGCTTGATTAAAGGCTCTTTTAATTTCTTAATAATTAGTGGGTTTTCTTTCTATTTTTAACAAAACTACTAAAATATTAAAAACTGGGAAACTTGGTATTTTTTTTTTTTTTATATGATTCCAATTCAAATTCACACAGGGAGACACATTTGACAGCTTACATGCACAGGCAAGTCCCTGGGCAAGACATTTCACCCCAAATTGCTCCTGTGGGGATTGTCCACAGTACTGAATGTATGTAAGTCGCTTTGGATAAAAGCGTCTAACAAATGTAATTTAATGCAATGCAATACCACAAACCATTTATTTCAATTAATTAAATCAAAGCGTAACACTGACCCTTCTTTCTATATAATAAGTCCAAATTAAATAGCTCCATCCTTTATATAGAAGCAACGTAACATCAGTTAATGTAACCTCTCCTCCCTTCAAACCCTGAAAACACATCAACAAATGGACCACTGTCTCTGTAGATGCGTGTTTCCGACTCTTCACATAACTGAGGTCATTCCCACCATTTAAATAGGCCAGGACATCCCGACAGGAAGTGATGGCATATCCTGCCTGGGCACATTGTTTACTAACAGATCTGATTGGACCCCACCCGCTCACTATGGAGCAGCAGCAGCAGCAGCAACACAAACAGGCCAATCAGGGAACAATCAGGGAACAGGTTATTGTCTGGTGGCATGCAGGCTCCATGGCACAACAATGTAAACAAAACATATGGGAGATAGTGAAGTGGAAGTAAGTAGGACTGTTTTCTCTTTCTAACATACGAGTTGCAAAATAAATTAAAGCCAGTAAAACTAGGGACATAAACATGGGTGCACTTTCTCAGTGAGGTACCTGGAGTCAGTGTTTGGTACTCTAACTTCTGGCTCCACTCAAAGTAATTTGATGAAGCCCTTTGTTACCTCATTCACACCAACGCAACTAGTGGAGTAGGCTACTTCAGGAAAGTCGACCGGTGGGGGGGGGGCTAGTGGAGTACTTTGTGACCACAGAGCGTGAACGTTGTGATCAGCTGTTTTAGCGCAGTTCTCCAGTGAAGGGGGGTGGGGAGTCTCCCTCCGCGGCCGGTTGGCGTAGTTTTGACACAATTCCGTTGTACAGACCGACGTTAACAGCTTTGTGACACNGTCTCCCTCCGCGGCCGGTTGGCGTAGTTTTGGCACAATTCCGTTGTACAGACCGAAGTTAACAGCAGCCCTGTCTGTGCACACGGAAACCGACTCTGTCGTCCGGTGATCTAACCACCTTCTGGAAAAGCTTCACAAGTACGTCGGTACGCAAATGCGCTTTGAGAGAGACGGTACGCATTTCAGATTGTTGCCGCGCATGCGTACCAGTTATGTGCACCCCTGGACATAAAGGTATAATAATGACGAAATGGAAAAGATGACAAGGCAGGTTTCCTACAGTCGGAGTGAGTCTGCATTTACACTTCACTACATACGGCACAAGTTAACCAGGTCCTGTGTTTTTAAAGGATGATTCTTCATACTAAACTCACATGCTCCTGTGTACACTGACAGCGGCATATGGTTAATTAACAAGGATATTTTATGATGGATTTGCTAGTTGAAGCCAAATAAATACTGGCACTAGGATCACCTTCCGTTAGTAACAGTCATTTACCAGTGAATGCAGCAATATTACCAAGTTTTCAAAAGGATTTGTTCAGGTGACAAACATAACTTAATACTACTAACTAACTAACAGCTCCCTATTTAAAGGGGACCTATCATGCAAAATGCACTTTTGTACCTCTTTTATACATGAATATGTGTCCCCGGTGTGTCAGGGAACTCACCAAGTGTCAGAAAACAAAACCCTCTCTCTTTTCCTCCATACCCAAATCTCTAAAAACGGGGCTGCAACGGAGCTGATTATTATTTGAATGTTTCTGACGTCAGAAAAGGGGTGCTCCGCCTATATGGGCAACTCTCCACCTATCAGGGGAATGAGAGACCGCTCGAAAGCACTGGAGACGCTGTAGTACATATGCCAAGCCTGTAAGTGGCGCTGTAGTCTGCCTCAAAAGCAGAATCAGCCCTTGCAAAAACAGGGCTGGAAAAGAGCAAATAGAGCTAAATGAGGCATGGCTAAAATGCATGATCTGTTTGGTATTTTGAAAAAAAAACGTCACAGACATGTTTTATATAGGTATGGCCCTACAATATATGTTTCAGATTTAGCATGATAGGTCCACTTTAACATACATAAATTCATGTGATTGTGTATTATAATCCTTAGAAAAATGTGTCCTTTGATCGGTTTTAGGAGTTTGCAATATGTGAACGGACAGCCATCCACTTGTTTTTGGATCAAGCAAAACAATTGTTAAGCACAAAGTGACCTGAGAAGCTGTGTGTGTTCTTACCTCGGCCTCTTTCTGTAGCAGGATCTGGTCTTTATCCACCTCATCCTCATCCGCAGCCCTGCAGAGAAACCAAACATTTGAGCTAAAACTCTGAACTAATAGAGCAGCTCATGTGCAGTTTGCATGAAATGAATCAGCTACTCACTTTCCCGATGTCTTCAGCCTCTCTGAGCGGAAGTTCTCATAATGCAGATCCTGAGTGACCTCCTGCAGGTCTTGCATGTGGGTCCTGCAACACACAAACATGCAATCATTTCTTCATACACTGGGAGGCAGTAGAGCTTCGCTGTTCGATTTTCTTCAGTGCCATTTACAAACCGCTTAATGAGGATGAAGTTTTGTCGAGGTTTTAAAAAAAACTTACTAAAAATCGTATTACTTAACACGTTTTATTGCCAAGGAGACTCACACAAGCATGGTGCGCAGTTTGAGGAAGTCATTGTGATCGGGGTTCTCCACTTCAACGACTCCCCAGGGGTAGAGGCGACCGCGGATCTTCTTCCCCTTCACCTCAATCAGCTGGTTGGAGCCAATCACAGCAAAGGGAATGCTCGCCTGGGTGGAGAAGATAAAGGTTTGAGGCGCCCAGAGAGAAACAATCAGATGAAGAGATATTGAAAATAAAAGGCGTCAGAGGGGAGGGGACAGAGTTAGTGAAGGGAAGTGAGAATGGTATCCATCAATACATTAGCAGAGAAAAGTGTCTGTGGTTGTGTATCAGCCAACAGCTGTGTGTCCCTTTCTCACCTTCAGGACTCTGGTCTGCTCTTTAAACTCTTCATCCTCGTCAGAGTCGGCATCAGGTAGCTGATAGATTCTGATCCCGTGCTCTGCAATCTCATCCAGGATCTGAGCGGTAGAAAAAAGAGAAACATAGGGTGAGTGGGCATGTTGTGACTTCATCGTGACCCGATGACGTGCTCCTGTCACTGCGGACACTATAAGAGGGGCAGCTTCACTCTTCTATTCTCAATTTGTAGTCCAGAAACCAAGGTTCTAGAGAGCCATTTAAGAAACAATCACATTTGAAATATCTTTCAATACACTTTTTTTTTACCATTGAATTTCATTTGCATGCTTGATTCTTCTGCAGTATATGCTCAAAATATATATAGTATTTATTTTTCTGATACTCATCCATAATATACCTGTTCTTGCACTTGTAGTGTTAGTGTATGTACTTAGAGTTTTGTCATATATATTAATAGACTACTTAAAGCCAATTCCAGCATGGCACAGGTGTCCGTAATACATTTAAATCAATATATAATATGTGTGCATTCACTGTAAACTGAGAGTCATGTGGACTAAATAACAGCTGCCACTGTAGACCACAAACAGAAAGTAAGAGAGCTGTATAGACTAATAGGAGGGTATGAGTGAGGAGCAGTTGTTGCAGCAACACATTTAATTAAAGCCCCCCATGGAGAAAAAGAGGGTTGAGACAGAACGGTTAGACAGGCAAAAAATAATACCAGGTCTGCATGTTCAAGGGTCAGAAACTAAGTTCTCCCCCTCCTTTATTTAGAGGCTGACCGGTGAAGAAACAAGTTAAGACAAAGGAGCTTTCTTCCCCGCTACCTCTGGGACAGATGTCAGTATTTATTATTCTAAACATCAAAGCTGCATTTTTCTTTTGTTTTCTCGAGAGCAGGTTTTTTTAAATCCACAATGTGGTCTTATGTAATGGAGCCAAAAAATGTCAAATGTGTTTTCCTGACTTTTTGGGGACTTTCATGTTCTGTAATGTATAAAAGGACAGTGGTCCGTCAGCCAGGAGCCTGGGAAGTGAGCGCAGGTTTTCCTACAGAGCGCAGGTCCTGTTTGAGCCCTTGTTATGGCTGCCGCTTGTTTTCTCAGTGAGCTCTGTGCGCAGTGTGTGCGAGATAGTGTGTGTGCGGGGGTCTCGGGTATTGTTGTGGGGCAGATCTGAAAACAAACAGACTTTGCAGGAGTCATAAGAAAGCGTGACTCAGGACCAGAGCCTCTTTCTTCCCTCAGTCACTCAAACACACACGATTTACGGATCTGTCGAACAGGGAGGCTGAATAAACATCGCTCTGGTGGGGCAGAGCACGAAGAATTTTGGGAAACTCTGAATTCAGTGGGAATATAAACACACGTGACACAATGGCAGGAAAAAATGAAACAAACAAGTAGATAAGGTAGAGAGAAACTCAAAAAGGTCATAAAAGAGGGATAAAAGCAAAGGCCATGTACCATTGAATGAATGCAAACCACACTGTAATATGGTCATCACACAAACAGCAGTCTATTGTCTGCCATCATCTGTTTCCAGACTTTGGTAAACCAAAAGCTTTAAAATGGCTGTTTACCTGGACTTATTCTGTTCCTAACATGTGCTTAGTACAGCCTGACACCTATAATCAAACCTCTCAGGCATCATCTCAGCCTGTTCCAAATCCCTGTTGTCTCCTGTTGATTTACTGCGCACAATGTAGGCCGTAATCCCTAATGTTCCACCTACCTACTCCTCAGAATTGTGTATTTTTGTTGGCACAGAGATGTTGGCAGTGGGAGCCATTTTGATTTTATGACCATCCTGTCCGGTTATAATACACCACCCACCCCCGCCCCTCCCTCTGCTGTTATGGTTGGCCGTGCAGGTCCCCTCAATGCTGTAGGGCGGCGGACAAACAATGCCACACAAGACTCTGCCTCAGTCTTAATTAGAAAAGGAAGCATAAGATTTATCGCCTCATGTTTCTGGCTCACATTTGGCTAAATGTAAATTGTTTTTGGAAATTATGTCGTCATTTGGGGCAGTTATGATAAGTCAGAGGAGTGGAAGCTGATGTTGTCCAGCTAGAAAATAGATTAGAAATTATGGAAGTTAGTTAAGCTTGTTCAATTCCAGGAATACCAGTATTAAATATACTGCAGTGGTGATGTGTAGCCCAAATATAGCGTACCCGCAGGTCTATACATAGATATAATTACACAGGGTGAAGTCGTGAGAGACGTGGCTCAGCAGTTTTTCATCAAATGCACAGCAAGTCTAACCAAAACCACCAATCATAATGAAACGGGGTGCAAACCCATCATTATGGGATAAACCGTTTCATCACATCTACCTGTCGTGGAAATAATGTTTTCAAGATTTGTTCATTCTCACAAGCAAACCCACAAAAATATGTATGACTCAAACACCTTCTAATCAATGACCCATGGATTCTGGACGAAACAACAATGGCACAAAACAAATGATTGCTTAAGAAAAAGAGCAAAGAGACAAAAGAGAGGATTGTGGTGAGACCTGCAGCACTGACGTGCAACAGGTAACAAACCACATGCACAAAAACACACTCCCAATAATACAGTTGTAGTGTGACTGTTGAGGTCGTCAGAGCTGAGCCTCCTCTGGCCTGGCATGGTGATTGTATCCATTAAATTTAAACAGGGAACAATACTTGGAAGTAGAAACATGTAACAGAGCATTCTCAGGACATCAACACACACGAAACAAAACAATGAAACTGCATCACGACACTAATCAACCCAGAGCAAGGATCAGGACTAGAGCAGCAGCACGTTGACGTAACGGTTATGTAACCTCACAGCTGACTGCCAGCTTCTGCAGAGTGTCCATGGAAATGAAACGGGGCATCATTGCCATTAGAAATAGTAGATCTGATCAGCTTTCAGTCGCTTTTAAACCTTGTTTCATACAGACAAAACCCCTTAAGGGACAGGGGCCCTCTTTTTCCAAGACTGGAGAGTTTATTAAAGGAAAATCCTGGCCATGGTGAGCGTGAAATCCGTTCTGCTGGGTGCCTCTATTCCTTATTAGACTCCTGTTGAACCAACTATGCGTCTAATTATCACTTAATACATTTACCGATTACTTTGCACATTTTAAATCCATTTCATAGACACAGAAATCTCTGAACTTCAGAGCAAAGGCCTGGCTTTAGATTATATGTTACCGACAAATGCAACAGGAAGAGTTCATTGTAATAAAAAGTTCAAATCAAGGAGAGTGTTGAAGAGTTTAAACAATGAAGTAAGAAATGTCATCACTCTCAGTATTCAACATCGCTCCAGTGAGACATTTATGCTGTGTGTGTTTTGTCCATTTCCTTGTTCGCAATACAAACTCTTCTCACATAAAGGGAAAGAACACCTTTTGATAAAGAATAATAACACTGTGGCAAGTACCAGCATCTCCAGTCATAGATCTCAGTCTAGAGTGGTAGAAAGTCTTCAAGTATCGAGGTTGCTCCAATAAGACTCTTTTAAAAACAATTCAGACGGTTTCTCACACGAAGCTCCACTGCTCCTAGTACTAGACTCCTGGTACTAGGATGGGTTAAAAGCAGAGAACAAATGTCACTGTGTGCTCTGCATGTGTGACCATTAAAGAGGGTTTCATCCCTCCCAATTCTATTCTACGTGGTTTTTAAGAGAATCTATAAAGAACTATGAATATTTACACACTGAGCTGTGTGTCACTGTAATTAATATTGTTAACAAAACATATTACATACCCCAATTACAAGATTAAAAGACAAGTAAAAGAGGTCTGCAACATGAAAAGAAAAAGCTGATTCCTACATCTATTCTTTAGTTTCCAAACTTGCAAACTTTAAGACACCAGAACAAATGCTTCTCCCTTGCCAGGAAACGCCTTTCAAGTAACCGGCTCTCTCCTGCCTGCAGGGAGTCTGAGGGGGTGAGAGAGCCCAACAATACCTGATCAGAGGGGGTCCGAGGGATTTAGACCTCATACCAGCCTCCCAGACACAAACACACAGACTTTCACATAAATATAGCTAACAGTTGCCTCACTTTGTGAACTGGTATAATCTGCCGTTGGGGGTATGAGAACAGTTTACATGTTACGGTGGATCACCGCAGATAGAGGATGTTCTACAAAACATCTACATGGCAAATCCTTCTAAAAGTTCTCATACAATAAAGACTCACACACGCAGCAGCATACGGGAAAACAATACTTTCCTGTTAGCAGGATTAAATTCTCTTGCCTTCATGCAGAGAAACACAATCCAGATATATTATTCAGTCAGAGTCTGAGACTCAGGGTCCAGACTGGAACAGCCAGAGACTGGAGGCACTGATGGAAAGTACAGAGGAAGTAAGCAAAACCATGGCAACGCTCAGGCATCATACGAGTTATGGGGAACAACACACACACACACACACACACACACACACACACACACACACACACACACACACACACACACACACACACACACACACACACACACACACACACACACACACACACACACACACACACACACACACACACACACACACACACACACACACAGCTAAGTATTAGTACAGTTAAGACCACCCACCTCTCCCTCTGATCAAGGGGAGAAACAATTGAGCTATTCATGTAATCTTGTATCTTATTGAGATTTACAAGGGGACACTGTGAGTTTAGGATTTCAACCACACATCAGGCTTTAGTGACTCGGTCTGGTAATCAAAAGGGTCTCAACGGCCAACTCAAGAGCAAAAAGTGACTCATTAGCAGCACGGCAAAGTCCGGAAGCCATCTTTTCAGGTTGGCCTGCTAACAAGGAAACCTGCTGTTTTCCCACTGTGGCCAGCTTTTACTTTCTTCACTTGAGAACAGATGATTGTGTGTAACAGAGCTGCCCGCTCAATGAGGAAAAACGCATATTTATTGTTTTAAAATCTGCTGAGACTTGGAGCATGCCCTGGCACAATGACTGCTGGGGGGCAGAAAAATAAATATATCCGCGTGTTTTAAACACTGGCAGGAAAAGACCCCGGGCATAGGCTGACAAGGGACTAACACTAACCTTTTCACACACACAGGAGCAGTCAAGTAATCACCACTCAACCTCTATACACGGGGCGCCTGCCAAGACATGTTCAAAGAAAAAACATTCAAATGGAGTGAAACATCCAACTCACATGATTACATATCGTTGATCCGCCTTCTTAACGTGCATCATAATTATTTTTCTCTAGCTCAACTCAATGTTCACTTTCTGTTATTGCTTTTTAAGGAAACCTGGTGACAATACAGGCCGGTACGAGTAGTCTAAACTGATTAATGTGTCCCAGCGGGGGCGTAGAGCTGGTTCACACAGCAGGAGTATGGTGAGGGCAGTGAGAGAAGACAGAGAGTCAGACAATGAGGGGGAAACTGTGATAGAGCCTTGGCTGGGGATGAAATATAGCAGCTGACGAGACACACATGAGGGAGGGATCTGCATGGGACACATGAGAGCAGATATAAACAGGGAGGGACAACAGGCTGTGAGAGGTAAGGAGAAGGGTGACCAGGGCAGACAGAAGGGAGGAAGAGAGAGGGGAGTGGAGGGAGGAAAAGAGGCTGATCTATTGTCTGCAGCCTGGTGCAAGAAGAGGAGGAGGAGCAACAACTGGGTTCTCCAGACACTGCTGACCTCTGAGATATCACATAGATTGATGTCAACATTGGTGGCTAAAATACTTCTGCTAACCTTTCCTCATTACTAAAGAAGTTCAAGACAACTTTCCTACAGCTTATCTAATAAGAAAGGGTTTTAACAACATATTCTGTACATTATTGCATTATTATATTCTCCGTTTATCATTCCATCCTAATTTCCTAGAGTACAACGTTTTGTCCTCCTGTCTGACTGTGTCAAGTTGTTCACTCAACAAACACAAAAGTCAACAATAGCAGCAAATCTTCACATTTGAGAAGCTGAAACTGAGAAATCTTGACACAAAAAAGGAATGAAATGAGAGTACAGAATCATTTTCAATTGACTAATCACATCATATGCAGGAAAACACAAAAGCACTCTCCTGTTCAGACAAAAGGAGGCATTTTTGCGTTTTTTGCTTTCATCAGGATTCCAGTTCAAACCAGCTGTGTTTGGTCCTCTGGGTTCAAACAGAAAACATCCAATGATGCAGTTTGAGGCTAAAGCCCTGCACAGGATATGACTGTAAGGTCCCAGACTGAGAGGATCAGTCCCTCAATATACCCTCCTCAGGGCAACTTATGAGCTAGAGTCCACATCACCCCAGCGGAGGAAATTGGCATTAGAGCAAATAAAAAAAGAGGACACAAAGACGCAGAGGAAGAAAGAGGTGAGTGAGGCACTGCCAGGAGAGGAAGGACCGGGCTAGAGGCGAGCAGAACTAAAGGGGATGAAAGCTTAATGATGGGAGGTTTGTTAACTTTGCCCGTGAGCCGGAGCTGCGCAGGGCAGCAAGTTGTGTCTTGTCAGTGGAACAGTTTCAACACATTGCAGGAAACTCATATTGTTCTGTACAAGCCGTTTCCCCCTCATAAAAAGTAAAAAGACTGGACAATACTTGAGAGACCTGGGGGGTGGGTTGGGGTCCAATTTACTAAGACAAATGGCTCAAAATGGTGAGAAAGTACCATGCAAAAAAAAAAACACACTAATAAATACTGTGGGAGAAACGCTGGGGGTTATCAATCATCCTCCAGCACTCGGCTCAGTGGCAGCTTCTTGGCGAATGCAGCTCTGACCTCAAAGGAAGGCTCGACTGTACCGGACTGTATGGGCGGACTCAGGCACGTATACCTAAGAGCCACTTCAACTAATCTGATCGAACCAACAAATACTCGAGCATGATACATTTGTTCTTTCGAGAGACACTTAAAGAGATTAATGAGCATTACTATGACACTTACTATTTACAATGACTGCAATTACATGCACACAAGAAATCAGACTACTGCGATAAATCAGTAAGGGCCGGAAATCTAAGAGCACATTTTTCAATAGTTAACATTGTCTAAATAATCAGATGTCAACCCATGTTTTTTTATAGGAACTCAAATTATTAAAATATGAATAGCACTGTGTGTAATTTGTGCCACTAAGGCTCTGACAATCAAAACGATGACAAAGGCCAGACTTAAGTGACGTTGTGAACTAGCCAATGAAAGTCTACATGTCAGGAATTCCCCAAAATGTGCCCCAACAGGAGATAATATGCCCTCCTAAGGGACACATGGTGCGGTTTCTAAATGTGTAGCAGATAGCTCAATTAACCCTCTTCATTTCCTGGCAATAATCGCTGGTCCAGGAATTCACTATAATCAGACAGAGTTAAAACAAATGTAAACTATTTTGCATTACAGTATATCAGGAAATAAACATGTTTTTTCACTGCTTAGAATAGAAAACAAATAGATGTGGGTAGTGTGCGGGTGTTTGTGTGTAAACTGGGCAGCTCCTAAGTGTACAGTAGAAATGTTTGTTAGGGGAACACTTAGCGTAGCATGTGAACAAACTCTTTTAAACAGATAGTGCTATGGAAAGTAAAGAAGGAAGATCAGAGAGATAATGTTACAGTATTTCAGCTGCCCCACTTTTAAAGTCTACTATTCACTGATATTGGCCACGTTTTTACAGAATCAGAGATTTGATTGAAAAGCATAACATAAACAAAATCAAGGTATGTCTATAATCAAGACAGCTGACCCACTGCACGCTGCCAGCTGAGGTAGGGAGTTAACAAGCATGGGGGTTTTCTGCAGATTGGAGGTCAGTGTTTGCAGGAAACACGGTTTTGTTCATCTTAAGTGCCAGAGGAACACTCAGAAGGTTTGAGGAAGCTCAAATCACAAAACAACTGTACAGAGTACAATTCAACTGGCAGGTCCCTTCAGGACAAAGCAGTTTAGAGATTGACCCTTTGTTGCCGGAGCAACTTGCATACGTGCGCATAAACAGAATAGATAGAGTTCCTGTATTTTATTGCACTAATGAAGCACATCAATCTTGCTTTAGGAAATTCAGTAAAGAACACTACGTGTGTCCTGAAAGGTTGAGATCCTGTCTCCCCAAGATGCTGCATCAGCAGATCCAAACAATGGGGCTGTGGGAGCATCTAACAAAGACTCCTGCTGAAGGGCAGAGGGCTGGACTCCAGTCAGCCTGCAGACACTCAGCCAGACCACATATCTAGTGTCCAACTAATTTTCAATTTGTGCGTTGAGAAGAGTAGTGGTTGCAGTGAGGTGTATGTGTCTTGTTTTGCACTATTGTGTCTTTCCCCACTGGACATTAGGAAGCTGAGGCGTGTGTAGACACTTGGGTCGCTTCCAACAGGAAGTATCTGGGATGGGTTGAGTCTGGATGAGATGTGCTGCCTCTATTAAATACAACACACTTTTCCTATGTAGGTCCCTCCTAATGTTTCCTCTCTTATGTTGGCCCTCCCTCTACTTTGCAGAATCACAAAGTGTAAGACATAAATCTCTGTAATTAAACAGGGAAGTAGACGTGAGTTTGCTCACATGAACAAAGACATAGCACGCTGCCAAAAATGATGAATAAGTGATTTTGATATTTCAAGTACATCTGCATCATTCAGTGATCCACTGTTTAATGACTAAACCACATAACTGCAGATGGGAAAAAAACAAACACATAACGCACTTCAAAAGTCTCAAACATTCAAGTAATTCCAGCTTTTGTCTGGTGCCAAGAATCAATTCTGAATGCAAACATGCTTACACCTAGAAAACAGTGGACAGCCATTTGGATCCTAATTGTTTGTGTGCAGGTGTGTGTGCATATCAGACTCACCCTTCTCTTCAGGCGATCCCTCTCCCTCAGTGTCAGTGTGTCAGCCTTGGCGATGACTGGAACAATGTTTACTTTGCTGTGGATAGCTTTCATGAACTCCACATCCAGAGGCTTCAGACTAAAGAAGAAAAATATCATAATGGAGACAAAGAACAATAAGGACACCGTGGAAAACAGAGGACAGCAGACATAGAAGGAGGTTATGTTGAGGTGAGGTGATAACACTGAATTATGTCATGTTAAATTAATGGGAAACAAAGCTAAAGTCAGAAATTGCAGTTAAGAGAAAATAGCCTATTTAAAAAATTATAGGAACAAAACGGTTAGAATTGTTTCTCAATGTTGGAAATTTAGGCTAGCCACTGCTAGCTACAATATAGTTATTGTGCAACCACACTAGTTAGCAAGAGTGCTATATTTTCAATAATCCAACGTTCTGATTTTTTGCCTTGTAGTTGTTTTAGGAAAGTTCTCGTCTTTCTGAATGTACAGAATAGACCCGATTAAACCACAGATGGGTAGGTATAACATCCCTCAGAGAGTATGTTTGTTTACCCGTGTCCAAATGGAGATATGAAGTAGAAGCAGCAGTGCACCCTGTTGTCCACAATGTGTCTTCGGTTCAGCCCGCTCTCATCGTGGAGGTATCGCTCAAACTGATTGTCAATGTACTGGATGATGGTCTTGAAGCTGCAATTAGAGACAAACAAGTAGAAAAATAGACGCAAACCTCCTTAATTGCACCAAATGTCCATGTAAACACAATTTTAACATCAACACTGAGAATGACAATAGAGAAAAGGAAATCATACACGTCATTTTGAAGGCTATCAAGGAAGATATCTGTTCCACAAATTGATTTGATTGGCGCAATATAAGACCTTAATTACAAAAGTAAAACCCTGAATTTCTCCTACTTTCAAACACTTTCTGACTAAAGAGTGCAAAGGGGATGTTTTTTCTGTTATTTCTATTTTTCTTTTGGGTAGCCTTGAGAAAAGTGCAGGACAATAAACAGGAAATGGTTCTTGGAAAGAGGCTACATTGACGCAACTGGCACTGGAGAATGGCACACGGGCGCACACACACACACACACACACACACACACACACACACACACACACACACACACACACACACACACACACACACACACACACACACACAGGGAATGCAGAGGGAGGAGAGGTAGTAAATAGGGAGTTTGAAGTGAAACTCGAGAACGGGAGTAGTTAAGAACAGGAGGGAAGGATGAGCGAACAGGCTGGACAGGAAACATTTCACAAGTCTTAATCACTCCTCCTCGGCACATAAACACACCAGTCCTGGCTGTTGATGGCATCGCCGTATCCAGGGGTGTCAACCACTGTGAGGCGAAGCTTCACTCCTCTCTCCTCGATCTCCACGGTTGATGCCTCAATCTGCACCGTCCTCTCGATCTTCTCTGTGAAGTAGAATTAAAGAATAATCGATGGGGGCATAACAAAGAAAACACCTCAGTGCCCAAGTCCAAAATGCCTGCCTGAGCTATGTGCTAACACAAGCCGCTGAGTTGCCACAACCTCAGGCTTAAAGAAGCTGGAAAGTACCTTAAATAATGAAATCATAAGCCGCATTCACACCGCAGGACTTTCCCTTACTTTGGTTCTTTAGTTCCGTTAGTACCAATAATGTTGCGTTCACACCGCCGGGACTACTCAGTGCCGGGAACTCTTTTGGCCATTTTCAGTCCCTGCTCGAGAGGTGGTACGAACCTGGTGATAAAAGAGTGCCAATTTCTATTCTATTTCTATTGGCTGGGCGAATTGCAAACCACGCCCTGTTAGACTCTGAATTTGTTTTGTTAGGCAGCCATTTTTTTCCTCGCTACAAAACCAAATCCACACCTGAGCGAGTAGTTTTTTTGTACTTTAAAGCAGTTATGACCACACGTTATGACCACACACCGGAGCGGTGGAANNNNAGAGTAGAGTAGTTGTCGATTCTTGTTCTGTTTTCTGTGAATATCTGCTTCACCCTCTCAGACTTTGAGTTGCGCGCTACTAAAGAGACGTGTTACCATGGAAACTAAACAATGGTGTAGCTGTATTAAAGTCCGAGTGGAAACAGTCGTGTGTAAATCTGATTTTGTCCGAAATCGGGAGAAATGCGGGAGAAATATGACCCCGGGAGGAAACCGGGAGAGGGCAATGAAATCGGGAGTCTCCCGCGAAAATCGGGAGGGTTGACAAGTATGGTCGGTGGTTGAATTTATCTACAATGTTGCAACCTTGTGCAGCAATGGCAGGGGCAGAAACACAAGTCTTACACACATAAACACAAGTAATGTATCATGTCATTTGTTTTATATAAATAGGGGAAAAACACCAAACAACGGTTAATGTCCTTTTCCAAAATCAGCCTGAGGGGGTAATATATAATAAATACATAAAGATAAAGTCCATTGTTATAATTGGATATTTTATTTGTAAATTACCCTTATAACCCAGCCTCATGGTGCACATGATTCTTTGCTTGGACATTTTGTTTGTTTGAGTCATTTGAGCTCGGATTCTAGTAGGGATTCTAACACGTATCTTAGGAAGATATGAACTTCATCTTGGTGAAGTTGATGCTGAATTCACTATTTAGTAGATAATCATGTGACACTTTATCTTTGTACTTACGGTCTGTCTGCTGAGCCTACCTATTATATACATTTATATATATGATATATATCATTGTCACAGCGGGGTGGGCGCTTTATACCCCCTCCTCCCGTTAGTTCTTCTTCTCTCGTTTTTTTTGTAACTCCCGTGAAGTGGTTTTGCGTTTTTGTACTCGCCGTGAAGTGGTTTTGCGGCCTGCCAGTAAACCCAGAGAAGAAGAAGACGAAGTGACGTCAGCGTAATCTTTCCTCAGAGAAAGTACTGCGGTCTGAATGCGATTGGCACTAGCCCCCTGGCGGATTCAGTGCCGTGGTACTTTAGTGCCGGCACTAAAGTACGGCAAGTCCTGCGGTGTGAAAGCGGCTATTGGTTTTGACATCTAAAAGACCAGGGAGGGCCTCTGTAATTGTTTTCAAGCCAGAACAAGTCTTAACCTAAGTCAAGTCATAAGAGGGGCAGGGTCGTATTCTGAGACTAGGGCATTCTCAACATTCCTCTTGAAATTATGCGCTGCTGGAGACTTTGCAGCAGACATTTCTCTAATATTACAGTGTGCATATTGGTGTATATGTATGCATATATATGTAGTGAGGAGTTTACCTGCGGCACCAGGGATGCAACGTTCAGGGTACAGATCAGTGAGGAACAAGCTGTTTATAAGTGTTGATTTCCCCAAGCCAGACTCCCCTGGAAATACAAAGAGAATGGAAAATGAAGCTCTGTTCTCTAAAGAGGTCATATAGTCTACATTAAATGAAAAAAGGGATCACTCACCTACAACCATTAGGGTGAATTCAAACCCTTTTTTCACTGATTTCCGGTGCACTTGGTTAGGGAGGTTAGCAAACCCAACATAACCTGTTGCATCGGGGAACTGTGGAGAAGAAACGACAAACAAATCATCAACACTGCAGTGAACACAGAAGTATTGAACTGGTGATATTAAGAACTCAGAATAAATTACACGATATGTATTTAATATTAGTGTTTAGTCATTTCTATGTCTTACTACTTGTTCCTCTCACTCCCAGATATTTTTATAAATTGTATTTTAAAGTGAGGAAAGGTGCAAGTGAGTGTTTATGAGTAAGATTGATGGAAATACACATTAAGAAATTCCTGCGGGCAATAAAGACTAGCCGTGAAACACTTACACATGTATACAGGATTTCCTCTCTGGATGCCTGTGTGAGTGTGTGCATGAGATTACAAGTTCCATGAGTCTTAATCACCTCTGCCTTATTAGAAACCCCTCTTGAACACTCTGTAGATCACAGTCATAGTTTAGTTTTAAAACCGTGGGGAATTTTCAGGCTGATACTCACCTTCCCTTTCTCTCCAGACTGAGACATCTCTGCTGTTTACTGGATCAACAAGCCTGCTGGTGAAATAAAGAGATATGGTTGAGTGATGGAAATCAGATGAATAAACTTAAAAACATTTCCTTGTACCTTCCCACTCGATCACAGAAAAGAATCCTTATACCTGGCATTTGATTAGAATCTTTCTCAAGAATTCATTCAAGATCAAGAAGTGATGTTTAATCTAAAGTATAATTAATCAGAGCTTTAGAGGAAAAAACACTATAAGCACTCATAAAGTCATGACATGGTTGTAAATCTTTTATGAAACCAGCCATTGTTGCTCTACAAAACACACATAAGCTACGATTAGCTCTTCTTCCTTCGTTCATTTTACACCCATTTCTTTTTGATTTTCAAATATTATTGACCGTTTTCCAATTCAAGGTACACAAGGACACATTTATTTGGCAATGTTAAGTTTTGATGTAATAAAGCTGCCAAATGCCTCGAGACATCCATTAAGAGAGCTGAAGTCCCTCCCCTCTCGGTGGACCACCAAGGGAACTTTTTTTCTGGAAGAAATATGAATGTAGTTAACGGCAAGAGAAAAATCTTGATTTTAACCTGTTTAGATGGGCTATTACGTTTTATATATTTCAACGTTTTTTCATGTCGAGAAAATCACAGTTTGTCCTACAACTTTTGAAGTACTATCACGAAAGCAAACCCCACGTCACAGTATTTATGTTATACCAACTCTGTACATTGAGTCCACGATGGGGCTGCCGACTGCACTGTTCTTTAGCACTATCTCACGGAAGGAGGACAGATTAAGAGCTTAGGACAACAAGTGTGTTCCCAGACTGCCATTTAACTGTCGTCTATGCTCATGCCCCACTCTATGACCCAGAGCAGACGACAGAGCAACAAGCCAACATGATAAATTAGCTCCATAATGAGTGACCAGGAAGAACAGGCTCCATTTTATCACCAGCACACTGGCTCTTGACAGGTGGAGTGTGATAAGCATTAGAAAGAGGCAGGCTGCCGTGCGCTGCCAAACGGAGATGCACTCTGGTTTTGTAATGAGGAAAAGAGGTGGCATGGGAATCCGGATTGACCTTTTTCCATTGGAATGCAACAAATACACAGTTTTGGACATTTGGGGGACCATCTCACACTGGTAAATGTATTAGATGGTAGTCGGGGGGCCCTCTGTATCTACATGAAATTGGGCAGAGATCTCTCATACTGACAGGGTGGTTTCACCGAGCCCCAGGGAGAACAATGGCTGTTTATCCTTCTGGTTCCTGAAGCCTTTCCAATACAGGGCAGCTCAGCTTGGGGAGGAGGGAGAACACGTGCCTCACCCCTGACCAGAATCAGGTCCGACCACATGTTAGGACAGCAAGGCGAGAGACCAATAACATAGGGTTAAGGGTTGCCAGGGTAGCACTGTAAAGGTCTGAAGGTGAATCCAGTTAGACAAACAGGCTGTAAGGCCTTTGAAAAAATTAAGGGGGGGTAAAAGCACTGTTGGTGACATCAGAATATGTAAGCTTGGTCTCCAAAAAAGTATGATCGATAGATTTAGTTATATTTTCTTTAAGATGTATGATTCATTGTTTACCGTCTTTCACAACCATTTTCACCCAGGTTACCAAAAGGCATTCTGTGGGGAATATCAACACGTTTACCAATTGTCATGGCAGACTATTGAAAGGTTGTAGACATTTATCTAAGAAAACATAAATGTCAATCAACCAACCAAAAAGTAAAATGTCCATCTCACAGTGTCACTAAATAACAAGTTGAGTTTGGAGCAGAGTGATAATTGACCATCCCAAGAGCCACAAGATATAGTTTGGCTTAATCGTTTAGTTCAGCCCTAAAAACAAAACAAAGTGGATGATTAATTGGCTTTCATTATTAAGGAACCTCTACTTTAATGTATCAGCCCACACAGGTGAATTCATGTGTATCATACACACTCCAAGTGTTATTCCTCTACAAGCTCTGTGGGAACCAGCATTATTTCGGGAGGCAGATTAATTAAACCTTTCCAATATCGCAGTTGTAATATCACAAAGACAACACTACAGGACAGACAGGCAGGAGGCACATTTCAATAATACGCTCTTAATAATGGCCATTTAATCGGCCGGGCAGCTGAGCTGCTTACACACACATACACACAGCTAATCAACGGGCCAGACGTGGGGGAGATTAAACAGTTTGGGGCCAAAAGGGAAAAATGCCACCTTAATACAGCCAAAGTTCTTGGCACGTGATGCATTTACAGTTGACTTATTGGTTTAAGTGAAGCCATGAAGGAGACGCAGTGCTGGTGGAACTATTCCCCTTCATGACAGGCTGTGTCAAGGGTGCTTACACACACTTTCCATGGATAAAAGCCTTTCTGCTCTTATTGGAAACATTGAAACAATAATTTCATACCATGGAGATTAAGTTGACTCAGTGGCACAACAACAAAAATGTTAATTTACTGGCACCTGATCAAAGAAACGGGGAACTGAGAGCTTCTCAGCAAAATAAATTTATGTTGACACATGTAAAGACACATACAGAAACACATAAACAGGGGGGCTTGGCTGCAATTAAGTAGGGGGTCAAAGGTAATGGTTGTGAGCAAGAAAAATAATATGATACTCTTTTTTAAGCTGGGATATTAGATTTATTTGATTTTTTATCAAATGAGCCCAATGAGAGGATAAAGCTACAATAAACGGAATGGAAAAACTCTTTTGTCCATGAGGAAACCAGCAGGCCTGATCATAACACAAACAGAGAATAAAGCACAGGATGGACCGTTTATGATGATGGGGACAGGAGAGGAAATAACTCAAAACAAGTGGGGGTCATACAGAAACAAAATGTTATACCAACACAAAGCTACTCACACTGTTGGCTGCCGTTCAGAACGATGAGGTTGAGGTGAAAGTAAACTCTTAATTCATTGTGAAACTAACAATGTAGTGTGGGCAAAGGTAAAGGTCATATCTTTTTTAAATCACTATTTCCGTTTCTGGCAGGGGAATGGTATAATTATGTTTTGTAAATAGGCATTTGAATGGGAGAATATTGCAAATGAAAAAATAAAAGCTAGATTGAACGACATGTTTTGAATTACAACACAAATGCCTTTAATGTTATATAAAATGCATTTTTTTATATATATATATATATTTTGAAGTAAGAAACTCTCAAATGACCGAACATTTAAATATTTGTATGTATACAGTAAGTCCTTTTTTTAAGCAGAAATGCCAAAACATTATCTAGTTCCAGTTTCTTAATGATAAGAATTATCTTTAATATATTTTTGTTTCAGGGCTCTTCGTCACATAAAACAAAGAATTTAAAACATAGCTGTGTTTTTAAGGACACCTCTTGAAAAAATACTGCGTTAATCTTAAATACAAAAGGATTAATCTGTAGAAGAATATTAAAGTTGGTCAATAAGATAATTTTGCGAGTCAGAATAAAGTTCTCTCCAGCAAGAGATTTATCCATACTGTTTTTATTAAAGTAGATACCACTTTAATATATCTGTTTTATATCAACACATTGGACAATGTTGAAAATGAATGAACTAAATGATCAGGACCACTGCAGTAATTTTGGATTCACAGATTTGTTGCATTGATATAATAATATACCTGGATTTGTTTCATTTGCTGTTTCCCAGAAGCAGGCATTCCTTTAGACACTTATTATATCTATAAACCATTTCTAAGTTTAGTTTCCACAGATAAACAACAAAATCATCATTGTTTGTAATGACAAATTATTCAATTTTGACGATAAGCACAATAAATCTGCTCCTTGTGGGACTCAAAGTTATTTTGAATATGCATTTCTTCTCCTGGTGTTTTGAAGTGAACATAAATATCCGGCTGTGTAACACCAGTATTCAAACAATGCAATCTGAGACGATAGTTCAAGTCCACTAGGGTCTGTCAATGTGAAACACGTTTTGTTTGTCCATTCACATCACAGTGTGAAACAGGAGGAAACATCCCCTTGTAGTATATAGTGTCAGACACATGTCTCCCCTGGTACTCCTGTGCAGGCCAGTGTGAGTGAGATAAGGTTGTGGGATGGGGAAAGGTCAGAGAGCAGTTAAGGTGCTGGATCAGAGTACTGAGACTGCTTTCAGTACTAAGAGATGTTGCCCTTCTGATAGCAAACTGGTCTGTGTCCAGCTGGATAAAAAGCTAGTTGTTTCTAGAGAAGAGGATAGCTGCCAGCCTGAGATTACAGCTAACACAGTCGGCCATCGAGCCCATAGCATTCACCACTCGGCAAAAAAGGATGTGAAATATGCATGTTTTCACTGAGTCATAAACACAAGCAAAGATGGACGATAACTCTTCAATAGTGGCCCTCCGCCATTTCTTAGACAGACACATAATGAGAAGTTATTGTTTCCCACTGTTATTGTGAACTTGTCTAAACACAACATTTGTTTTGCACATATTGCCCTTTACAATCAAAGGTCACTGATTAATCAGATGTTAGAAAGAGATTTTAGAGTTCAGGAATGTTACACAAGAAGAGATTTACAGGAAATGTGTTGAAGTCAATGCTTCAAAGGGCACGTGAATGTAGATTGAATGTGCGGTTGATTTAAGAGTATTTAGGCCGATTGATTTGCAGAGGGTTTCTCTGGAGTTGTCAAGTAAGAACAGTAACAATGTGGAAATAAACTACGTCAAAAAGCACTAAGTGTTTTAAAAAAATGTATTGAGCTACCGTCATTGTTATGAAATATTGAAGCGGGAGGAAATACTTACTTGCACATTTTGTCAAATAATTGAGGAGTTTATGAATCAATGCTTCAGTCACTGAGTTTGAAACGTGTGTGAGGCCCTCTGTGTTTAGGATGTCCACCACACCCAGCCTGACAAACACTGGCTGAGTTCACTAAACATCAACTGGGACAATGACATTATAATGTGTACGTATGCAGATTAAAACCGTAAATCAATAAACTGTGATAGTGCTCTTTGAAATCGAATTGGATAAACCGAGTTTGAGTGTAACACAGCACTGAAACTTCGTTCACGTTACATGTCAAACTTTAGCAACAGTTGTTACCGCGATGGTGTCATGTTGCCAACTGACTACTGTGTTTCCTCTCCTCCTGCTCCGACTCATTAAAACGGTTCAACAAAGCAAACACAAATACAAACAAACCTCTGAGCAGTGCCTTACCTGAACGTAACTTTGAATGATTGTTAATCGACAGGAGCCTTTTTGCCTCTTGCCGCTGCCCCAGCCCAGGAAGGGAAACCCGGAAACCGTCCCCGCGAGCCCACCCTCCTCCCTCGGCGTTTCATTCCAACGCCTCTCTGCTGCGCCACTGACGCCATTACGGCTCAACCTGCGGGACGGCTGAGCAGCAAACACCACCCCTTTGTGGATCCAACATGGCTGCCCGAGTGATACAGTTTCTTAGCAATTCGAACAGTGAAGGGTTGTTTTCCCTGTCGACTCATGCGTTCGTGGGAAATGTTAAATGTAGGCCTAGGTACTGTTTGATATAAAACTGTCCATTTACAATTTGATTAACCAGTAGACATCCTATATAACCTGCTATCCAATAGCGGAAAACAGGTACTATTCCTAAAAATGTAAACATTTATAGGCTAAAAAATGTTCTATCCTTGTATTATAATATTTCCATTGAATGCCACGTTATTCTACTTTCAGGTGATAATAGGCTATATCTCCTTTAAAGTTAATTCACTTGAAAGTCTCTCTTTAGTTTACAGACAGTAGCCTATAGCTATAAAAAAAACATGAGGAACTTTTGAAATGGCGATGTACACCATAACTTAAGTTCGTTATAAGGTTCCAAAATCAAAAATAAGGGTAAATATCAAAAATATATAGATTAATTGATAATAAAATAAAACTTGAATAATAAGGCGTTTACATGGATTAAAGTCATTACATTTCGCAAACTATTCTATGGTGGGTTGTGGTGCATGTATGTCCTCCACCTTATACCCATAACAAATGCTTGTGTACATGTATGTTTCTGCGAAAAAAAACAACAAAAAAACTGCTTTGAATCAAAATTGATACATTTAGAATAGATATGAGATTTTCTTTTCTTGTTTCTTTTCTGGCATTCTAAGACAGCCAATTAACACCATCATGCATGTCGCAATGTATACCGCAGACAAGTGCATTAGCCTCCGTGTCTGAAAAATCAATAACAAGTTCCATGATTCACCCACCCACTGCTTCAGCTTCACCATACTCTTACAACACCCCTTGTGCGACCTCACCCCCTCTACTGCCCCTGTATTCATTGTAAATAACTGTTCAAACGCACAATGCGCTCTGGACCTCTTTATTCAGCCTCACAACTTCCCTGCGTTTTCATTGGTCCCTTCGGGATGCGGCGACAGCTGATTGGAGCAAAGTTTCTCTTCAAGTCCATGCACCCCCACCCCGCAGATATCCGAGGTCCGGTGCTACTGTGTGATTCCAGTTGTTTTCACATCCCCTCACTAACAAAGAGCCTAGAAGCTGCTGTCTCTTACATCTCCAAGTAAATGTGGTGAGTGATGCGCAACTAACGATTGAGGCTCTTGTAAATCCAGACGAGAACGAAGATATTAAGAGCAAAAAGACACTGTGCTCTGTAGAAGATATAGCAGGTGAGAATTTGAAAAGTTTCAGATATAATTGACTAAACGTAAAGAGCAAAAATGGTGTCGGCTGGACTGGAGATCCTGGGACTAGCGCTGTGCGTACTTGGCTCGTTTCTGGTGATGGTTTCGTGCGGGCTGCCCATGTGGAAGGTGACGGCTTTCATCGAAGCCAACATCGTGGTGGCTCAGACAATCTGGGATGGCTTGTGGATGACCTGCGTGGTGCAGAGTACGGGCCAGATGCAGTGCAAGATGCACGACTCCCTCCTCGCCCTTACCCACGACCTGCAGGCGGCCAGAGCGCTCACGGTCATCTCCTCGGTGATGGGCGTGCTGGGGCTCATGGTTGTGATTGCGGGGGCGCAGTGCACCAACTGTATCCAGGGGGAGTACGTGAAAGCCCGGGTTGTGAACGCCGGAGGGGTCACCTTCATCGTCAGTGGTCTGTTTGTGCTCGTGCCTCTTTGCTGGATGGCCAACAGCATCATATCAGACTTTTACAACCCACAGGTGCCATCATCAAAGAAGAGGGAGATCGGCGCGGCGCTCTACATCGGCTGGGCTGCCTCAGCGATGCTGCTGATCGGGGGGTCGCTGCTGTGCTGCTCCTGCCCCTCCAGCAGTAACTCCGGATACTCGGTAAAGTACGCACCGACCACGAAGAGAGCCACGCCGAACGGGGGGGATTATGATAAGAGGAATTACGTGTAGTGGTTGGCTCATATCTGGCGGTGCGTGAAAGTGACCTGCAGCTTGTGAAAAACTTTTTTTGACGGACCTTTTCATCTGCAGTTTTTATTTTTTGAAATCTGAACTCTGAAAATCAAAGGAAGCACACCTGCTGTTTTTACACTGGCCTTTCAATACGCTCGGACCACAAATTCATAAATCCTATTTTGTATCTACAGAAGATCAAAAAAGACTATCAACTGCAAGAGGTAGCTCACGACAAAAAGGAGTATATTTGTTAGGTACCTGCTTTTGTAAGTCTTCGAAATTATTAGTGTTTTCAGTTGTTTATCGTTGTAACTGCAAAGTTTTTTCTTTTTTAGAGGAGCTTTTGCCATCGAATATTTACTCTGTTGTTTTGCCTTTATTTGCATTGTCAGCACAAACGTGTACAGTAACTGAGAATGATTGCACTCCCACAGTCAGAGACCCATTTCGTTTAGTTGAATTACGCCGACATGTTGAGGACTCAAAACAATGTCTAATAGCAATAAAGTTCGAAGAAGAAAGGTGTACACATAGTAAAGCCCTAATAAATCTCAGAGAGGTTTTGTATTGTTCAGAAGTTTATGACGGTTCCTAAGTCTACAGTCTAATTTTGGACTATATATTCCAGACAGCCTGGGATCTGTAGAGTTAAACACGACATGTTACAGTCCGTTATTTGGCTGCACTGAAAACCTGCGACGTTTTTGCATCTTTGCCACTGCAGGAATTCTTTTGTTTTCAGCAATTCTAGGAATAAACTTTTTTTTCTGTTGGTTTGTTGACGTCTGATGTAATGATCATTGTATATGAAGATGCAATATTGTGTCATTTTATTAAGATTAAACTGAATATATTGAAAGTGTTTTCTTAAACAAAACATCTGACAAGTGGGTTGTGATGGCGTGCAGAGTAGAGCAGGAGAGCTCCACGACTGTGCGTAATGCATGCCGTTCCCACCGTGAATATCCATACACCCCCACGGCGGGAGAAAGTATTTTGGTTAGCCATAGAAATCCAGATGACAATGCCCATTCAGCCAGAGTGGGGCTCTGCTGTTCAACTCACAATACTGCACAACCCCCACCCCTCCTCGTGCGCAGTCAATGAAGAGCGTTCAAAATTAGAGCCATGGAGAAGTTGCTGGATTCGTCTTCCCGCAAGTCACTCCATTCATTCATTGGCACAGCCCCAACTCCCTCCATCTGGGTGCTGGGATAGCTTCAACACAAAAGATCTCACACCATCAATTTTAAGCAATCAGTTTATCCACAGCTGCTTCTGGACACAATATGTATTAATATATGGGGATGATTTCCACTATTTACATAAAGGCAAAATACTTAGGGCTGAATAACAGAACAACACAAGCCTGTGAGTAACAGTCCTCTGATTTAAGAATGTGACTGGATTACAAAAGCTTATCCATACTTATTTTGCTGGTCACTTAAGATTCTTAGCAGGTCATAAGCCCTGTAAAAAGTTGAAAATATGAGCCATGCACAAAGTCTGAACACTGTCAGGGGAGAGGGTGACTTGTGATACTTTAAACTTGAAATACAAATTTTAATACAATTAATCATTTGTATTCCACTCTTAGTGACATCCTTATGCACATTTAACATAATAGTTGAAAAAAGAAAAATTCCAGACCTTTCAACCATAAAATACGGTCAGTCTGCTCAGTTGTCGTGGTGATATATCTGCTGACACATAAACCCAGTATATCTTCTTTTTTTATAGAGTCTTTCCTTAGCATTGTTAGGCCTTGTTATGGTTGTGAAACTAAAATGAGAAAACTCCATCTTCAAGTTGATGAACAAAAAATGATTGGCAAATATTTGAATAATCGTTTAAATCATTTTGATTTATAAATATTAAAAACGCTGGTTTTCCCACTTTGCAAATTTGAGTAATTGCCTATTTATTAGTCTCCATTGTTATAAGAAAAACATGTTTTCTTTATGAACAGGGCTTTAGTGATGAGAGATTATTCAACTTGTTAGATTGTTTTTATAAATACTGTGTGTGATGTGCTACAGTAGGTGTTCCTATTTTTGGGTCTGTATGGGGTTTTCAACACAAAGACACTCCAGTCTGGTCTGCTTCACTCAGATGTTTTTGTGGGATTGTTAGTTCCACTCCCCTAGTCACCACATAGAGGGTGATGAGGCGCAGGGTGTGTGTGTGTGTGTGTGTGTGTGTGTGTGTGTGTGTGTGTGTGTGTGTGTGGAGAGAGAGATAGAGTTGGGGGTGCACCTTTAAAAAGGCCCTCATTCCAATGAGCAGAGGGGCAAATAGGGCCAGCGACGTCACTCAATGGGAGCTCGCTATGGTAACCAACCAGAACCTGCAGTTGCCTGGTTACGGGAGCCTATAATGGTATGGATGAGCCTAATAAAAGGCCGGCCAGCAGACATTCCTGAAAGCATGGACACACACACACACACACACACACACACACACACACACACACACACACACACACACACACACACACACACACACACACACACACACACACACACACACACACACACACACACACACAATATGCACAGCAGTCTAGAAGATGAAGGGGGGATTTGCTTAAAGCCTCTAATGGTCACTGCAAAAAGAGTTGTGACAGCAGAAACACATTGTTTCATTGTATTTGAGCAAATGTTAAAGGCGCTATAAAGGAAGAAAACAAACACTAGCTCTGACGAACGAGAATTAAAATGTGAATATAAAGAATTGAGGAATAAATATATATCTCAGACATGTCTCAAAGGAATAGATGACTATGACTGCATGATTACACAACAGAGAAACATTTTGACCTCTAAACTTGACCTCCCTGAGACCAGCGACATGGCTAAGGTCATGTCAGAAAGTGGTCAGGCTGCTTGCTGGTCTCAGATTTGTGCTGCAGCCAGTGCACGTTGTGCTCTTTTTTAGGAGGTTGGGTTGTGCTGACGATTATTTTTCTCATGACAAAAACTTTGAACTCTGAATCTGGCCTCAGGTCAATCGAGTCGGAAGTCACTTCCCTCGACCTACCAGGCATGATCTCATGGAAGCAGAATCCGTCACATTTGATGGGCAGTCACAACCCCTTAACTCTGAGCCCAAAAATCTGATGTGAAGTATCCTCTTAGAAAGAAAGGATCTGGTGAATAAAACCAGTGAAATAAATTGCGTAAAGAAATGTCACGTTAAAAATCTGTGTTTCTCTGATGCTGTTTGGCTGCCGCTAACCTTTGCTTAGCATGCTTCTCTGATAACTTAATATCCAGATGTCCAATGGGTAAAACCCCTCATCCAGTTAAAATTGATAGTTAAAATCGTCCAAAACCAAAATATTTTGTGTCTGTATGTATTTCAGCTTCTCGCAGACAACGTTGACACATCTGCAAATCGGATTTGCTGCAATTACCGGGAACAAAATACAACAGATAATTAAATTAATAAAAAATTAAAATGATAAGATGAGGAAAAATAACTGCAAAAATCAAATATATGAAATGGGTCTAGGGGTTTTTAGATATTATATTGCAGTAAACTTATACATTATACCTTTAAAGCAACCCATAATGTAGTGAGTCTTAAGGGAAACATGATTAAAGTGATAAAAGACTGAGTCAGAGATCAGAGCCAGCAGGTGCACACAGTCAGGCTGGACAGAGCTTACTCACTGATAGTCAGAGCCAGGAGTCAGCAGGTGGTCCAACATGCCCGACAAATGGCTTTGTGTTGAGTTAAAGACCCGAAGAGCCGTTTGTTTTATAAACAATGTTAGAGGCAAGAGGTGGAGAACAAAACAACGTTTTTTGTCCTGCATGTCCGCAAGGTTTACGGCTCGATGACTCACACGTTTTTGTTGCAGCTCAGTAGCAGGACCAGGCTTCCTGTGCAACGGACAGCAGGACAGGAAACAGGAAGGAACATGGAGGGTGTGGGAGAGAAGGAGGGGTAGAGTGTGTGTGTGTGTAGAGTTTGGTGGTTGAAGCACACTCTCACACACACAGTTTGTACATAACTTCCAATAACTAACTTTCAATTTGGTGATTTAAATTTTTAATATAAAATTAAGAGATACTTTAATTGTTTAGTTATTTTACACAAACTGAAAACAAGTGTTTTTTCTAAGCTCATGGCCAGTTGATGTATTAAGAGTTTCATGGTTTTAAATAGGGCCGCAACAACATGTTAGAAACATGTCACCTTATTACTCATGTGTGTTTAACCATTTCACGTGAAACAAAGTTTCAGACATTTGGATTTGGTAAGGAAATGAGGAATAAAATCATCTTTACTTTCATGCTGGGAATCAGGAAAGGTATTATAAATGATAAACAATGTGTCCTTACACAAAATAGCAACTAGACATGATCATTTTACTCAACAAAAATAAAGCATTGATGAACTTCGACATAGCGCTTTTCTTGGAAGCAGCAGGATGTTCTATGTGAAAAAGAACAAAGATAGTGAATCATGCACTAAAATTGAACAGGTGGATCAACAATTCAAGAAAGGGTTCAAAATCATTTTTTGTGTCGCTCTGTAACTGCTGCATGTGTAAATAAGCAACACGTTTGTCATATCAACTTCAAGGGTGATAATAAGTCAATGTTTTGCTCACAACTAATTTGGGCTGTCCCTAAATGGCCTCATGTTATTTCAGGATAAAGAAGGGGGATTTCGCTTTTATTCCAAGGCCACAAATTAAACACTTTAGTCGGATCAAACCTGAACGGCTTAGCATAACAATAATATTTATAAAAAGGTGCTGCCAAATATTAAATCAACTTTCCCAAAACGTACACATTTATGTGCAATTTCAGACAAGCCAATAACAGTTTTACAGCAACATGTTATCCCAAAAGAGTGATTGATAGAGTGCATAGTGAAGGTTTAATCTCAAAATATGAGAGAGGAGAAGTCAGAAACAGGGAGTCTCAACTCCTTACATGCCTCACAGAGTGAGATCATGTTTCCATAAAGTATATCATCACATTCAGCCTATAGGGCAAGATGTGTCCCTGTTTAATCTTTAACCTTTACAAGAAGGGTTGGAAAGATAATCCCAGTAAAACAAAAATGGAAAAATAAAATAATTATGGACGTGTCACATTTCAGCTCCATGTTGCTATAGCTACAGCACATCGCTAAAGGCTAACGCCCACACTCCAACACACACACCCACCCACACACACACACACACACACACACACACACACACACACACACACACACACACACACACACACACACACAAAGAGGTGAATGACAGCCCTAGCTGAGATGAAGAGGAGGCCAGGCAGTGTGAGGAATGTCTGGGTGGGATCAGGAGACATTTCTGATTTGGCATGGTTAGGGAAATGTATGTCGGTCAGAATTAAAAAAACATTGAGGGCTGCAGACAACCCCAGCAGGGTTTAACGACCATGTTTGCACTCACAGGGGCACAGGTGGTGTTGCTTTCAGCTTCACGTCTTCTGGAGTCCCATATTAACATAGGATACTGCAATCAGTGGCTAAGTAAACAAACAGACACACAAACAGGATTACGAGGTGTACTAAGTGTATTGTTTCCGCACTAATTGCATCTTGCAGGAAAACTCTTGCTTGTTATTCTCGGGACTGTTAGAAAACACTTGATATGTGGAAAAAAGGCAAATATAAAAAAAACCTCTTCTTTTAAGTTAGTTTTTTCCCTTGGTCTCTGTGTACAGAACCTTCGAGTATTTAAGGGATGAAGGTGTAGTGCATGCCATCCAATAAAGGGAGTCTCCCCCCCCCACCGCTAAGTGAAGACACAGACTGCAGGAAAAAGCTGTTGTGTTTTCAGCCTGGCCTACTTCAATTGTCCTTGATGGC